CCTCCTGGGTTCAGGCAATTCTCCTGCCTCAGCCTCCTGAGTCGCTGGGATTACAGGCATGCGCCACCATGCCCAGCTAATTTTTTGTAGTTTTAGTAGAGACGGGGTTTCGCCTTGTTGACCAGGATGGTCTTGATCTCTTGACCTCGTGATCCACCCGCCTCGGCCTCCCAAAGTGCTGGGATTACAGGCGTGAGCCACCGCGCCAGGCCTGTTTTGTATGTTTAGTAAAGACGGGGGTTTCTCATGTGGCTGGTGTGGAACTCCTGACCTCATGATCCGCCGGCCTTGGCCTCCAAAAATTCTGGGATTATAGGTACTTCACATTTTATATGAGAAAATATAATGAACACAAAAAAACTTTTGTGCCTGATGTTAGAATTTTTGGATCTTGTGTAGTAAAGAATTAAAGGTTAGTGTTATTGAAAGCTTCCAGTTACACAGTAGGGCGTCCTCAGAAAGCAGAGGGTACACCTCCCCTTTATGTTTTTCTTACACAGGAGCTCACATAAATAATGTAGACATGCATAGATAACGTCTGTCTCCCTGCTGGTGGGCTGACACTATAACAAAACTTACTACTTTGTTGATTTAAAGCTATCCTTACTGAACCCAGCCAACCAATGCCTTCATAAGAGATTCTGAGAGAAAAAATATATTCCCAATAAAACATGTGGTCCTCTCAAGATAGTGGAGACATTTTCAGCTTGATATGGCAACGTGATTGTGATCGTCAGAGAGTATAAATATGTGTGCCATCTCATGTGCAATTTCTTATAGACCCAGCTTGGTTCTTCAATGTTTCCTTTTGGAGTTGTACCAAATTTTATTATCAGTTTTCATCTGAATCCACTGGAGAATCAAAAGATTTTGCTTTTGTTTCTGAGCCATGAATCATTTAATTCTGAATGTCTTATGAAGAGACACAAGAAGAAGCAGAGTCAGCCACACACCATGATGGCAGAGAGCAAAAGAGAAGGGGCTTGACATCTTGCTTTTTTTCTATACAGAGTTTCAGTCTTCTTGCTCATGCTGAAGTGCAATGGCACCATCTTGGCTCACTACAACCTCCACCTACCGGGTTCAAGTGATTATCCTGCCTCGGCCTCCAGAGTAGCTGGGAATACAGGTGCCCACCATCATGCCCAGCTAGTTTTTGTATTTTTAGTAGAGATGGGGTTTCACCATGTTAACCAGGCTGGTCTCAAACTCCTAACTGTTGTCTCTACTGTTACCTGTCAGTCCTCTTCATAAAGGCACAAAAAAGATTAATTAAAAAAAACTAACTTGGGCCAGGCTCAGTGGCTCAGGCTGCTAATCCCAGCACTGTGAAAGGTGGAGGCAGGCAGATCATGTGGTCAAGAGATTGAGATCATCCTGTCTAACATGGTGAAACCCCGTCCCTCCTAAAAATACAAAAATTACATGGGCATGGTGTCGCACATCTGCATTCCCAGCTACTCAGGAGACAGAGACAGGAGAATTTCTAGAACCTGGGAGGTGGAGGTTGCAATGAGCCAAGATCACGCTACTGCAGTCCACCCTGGCGATAGAGCCAGAGTCCATCTCAAAAAAAAAAAACAAAACAAAAAAACCCTAATGTGGATGATCTGCCTGTTGGACTATGCATCACTTTCAACATTGTCTTGACCCAACTTAAAATGAATTACCCATTTACACACTGTTGATTTTTACTTGACATCATCCCCATAACCTTTTTATAAAGCATCAATGATTTCATTATTTCTCTATCCATATTTTACCATAGGTATTCTTTTTTTCAAACAGTAGCTCACTCCATCACCCAGGCTGCAGTGCTGTGGCATGACCACAGGTCACTGCACCCTTGACCTTCGAAGCTCAAGCCATCCTTTCACCTCAGAGTCCACAGTAGCTCATGCAGGCATACGCCACCATGGACAGCTAATTTTTATATTTTGGCAGAGAAAGGGGTTTTACCATGTTGCCCAGACTGGTCTTAAATACCTGGGCTAATGTGACCCACCTGTCTTGGACTCTGAAAGTGCTGGGATTACAGGCCAGAGCCACTGCATGTGCTCTCATCATAAATTTGATGTTTCTTTTTATATCAATTTTAGCAGAATTTATATTGCTTTCATAGGGTCTCTTTTCAAAGCCATGTCTTTCCTTCTGAGTGCCTCAAACTAGAGTCTGTTTGGTCATGTTATAATAGAGTTATACTCATTTATTCTGATGCAAAAAGTGTAAAATTCATGCATAATTTTCTATTTTTTTGTGAACTTCTTGAAGACCCTTTATAGTAAAAAATTGTACCAAACAGGATATAAAAATAATTGTGGATATTCACGTGCCACGTATTTCCGGAATGCAAGGATGGTTCAACACATTCAAGCAAATCAATGTGATATACCACTTGAACAGAATGAAAGATAAAAACCACATCTCAATAGATGGAGAAAAAGCATTTCACAAAATTCAATATCCAGTCATCATAGAAATGCTAAACAAAATAAATAGAGAAGGAAATTTACCTTAACAATATAAAGACCATCCCCTTTCTCCTCTGCAAGCTTCCAAAATGACAAAGAAAAGAAGGAACAACGGTCATGCCAAAAAGGGCCGTGGCCATGTTCAGCCTATTTGCTGCACAAACTGTGCCCGATGCGTACCCAAAGACAAGGCCATTAAGAAATTCGTCACTGGAAACAGTGGAGGCCGCAGCAGTCAGGGATATTTCTGAAGCAAGCATCTTTGATGCCTGTGTGCTTCCCAAGCTCTATGTGAAGCTATATTACTGTGTGAGTTGTGCAATTCACATCAAAGTAGTCAGGAACTGATCTCGTGAAGCCTGCAAGGACCGAACACTCCCACCCCGATTTAGACCTGCGGGTGCTGCCCCACGACCCCCACGAAAACCCATGTAAGGAGCTGAGTAAAAGATTGAAGACAACTATTCTCTGGAGAAAAATAAAATGGAAATTGTACTTGAAAAAAAAAGACCATCCATGAAATCACCATACTGGAAATAACCAATCAGGGAAAATACAATGCTTTTTCTGCAGGATCTCACATGATGCAAGAATGCTCTCACCCCTTCTATTCAACAAATACTAGCTGTCTTTGCCAGGACAATTCAATAGCCAAAGAAATAAAACCCATCCAAATCAGAAAGAAGTACAATTATATTTATTTGGAGATGACATAATCTTCTGTAGAAAATCAAAAAGAATCAACCAAAATACTACCGGAACTAATAAACACATTCTATATATTTGCAGAATACAATATTAGCACCAAGAATTAGTTGAATTTCCATAAATAAACAATAAACAATTTTAAAAGACAATTAGAAAACACCATTTGCTAAAGAACTTAAAGTAAGAAATACTTCGGAATAAATGTAAAAATGTTCAAAGTTTGTACCCTGAAATCTACAACCATTAATCGAAATGATTAAAAATGCATACAGAGGCCGGGCGCGGTGGCTCACGCCTGTAATCCCAGCGCTTTGGGAGGCCAAGGCGGGTGGATCGCGAGGTCAAGAGATCGAGACCATCCTGGTCAACATGGTGAAACCCCGTCTCTACTAAAAATACAAAACATTAGCTGGGCATGGTGGCACGTGCCTGTAATCCCATCTACTCAGGAGGCTGAGGCAGGAGAATTGCCT